ATAAAAAAACAAAAAAATTAAAAAACAATGGCAACCAAATTAAAGCAAAAACAATGCAAAAAATATGGTAATATGGAACCAATAAAAATAGTGTTCGGCTATTAAAAAAAAAATTCCTCAAATTAAACCCACAACCACCGGCAACCAAATGAAACCACAATCACCGGCAACAAAATTAAACATAAAACGCAAAGCTTCGAATTCCACCAAAAATCTCAAAAAAAAAAGTGAGAAAAAAAGAGAATTTACCTCGAATTACACCAAAAACCCCCGAAATTAGCTTAAATTTGGGTTATAAAGGTCGAATTCGACCATGAAAACTCCAGATCTAGAGTTTTCATGGTCGAATTTGACCTGAAAACCTTTAATCTCATCACGAGGGGGAGAGAAAGTGCAAAAACAATGAGGCAATCGCTGGTGGTGGTGATGATGCATGTAACAGTGGTGGTAAAAATGGCCGGAAAAAATGAGGAAATCGAACTTTGTGGTGGTGATGTTACGGTGGTGGTGGGGCTTTGCGGTGTTGTAGTTGTTGTTGTTGTTGCGATGGTGTTGTTGTTGTTGTAGAGAAAGAAAAGAGATTGGGAAGGAGAGCTAGAGGAGAGAGAAGGGAGAGCAGAAATCCGAGCTGAGAAGGGAGCGGAGAGAGTGAAGGAGGCGGAGTGAGAGGAGAGAGAAGGAGAGCAAGGTTTAGATTTAGGTTTTTAATTATTTAAAGGGAGGCGGAGTGATGAGGCGGTTTTTTTTTTTAATAATTAAAAGGTCCGGTTCACTTAGGCACCGGTTCAAACCGGTGGCCTTTATGTTTTTAGCACCGGTTTGAAGTGAACCGGTGCCTTTTAGTCTGGTTTAGCTTCCCACCAATTTTGTAGGCCATTTTTGGCACCGGTTTGGACTTAACCGGTGCCAATTAGGGGGTGCCTTTTTGATATTTTCTACTAGTGAATAAACTATGGACCTGTTCACATTTACTGAACTGATTGGAGCTGAACTGAACTGAATAGAGCTGAAATGAATATTTTGTAAAAGAAGGAAATTAGGAGCTGAACTGAATTGAACTGATTGTAGATGAACTAAACTAAACTGATTGGAGCTAAACTGAACTTAACTGAAATTAAGCTGAAGTGAATAGACCCTAACTTTACATTGGAACTACCTTTAAAAGAAACACTACTTGAGATTGAGATTAGGTTAAATAAATATTAGAGTTTGAGGGATAATGTAGAACTAAGGGCCTGTTCACATTTACTGAACTAAACTGAACTGAACTGATTGGAGCTGAACTGAACTGAGCTAAACTGAATATTTTATGAGAGAGAGAAGTTAGGAGTTGAACTGAATTGAACTGAGCTGATTTGAGCTGATCAATTCAACTGAACTGAACCGAATTGAACTGAACTGATTGGAGTTGAACTAAACTGAACTGAAATTAAGTAAATGTGAACAGACCCTAAATGATAATGGTTGCACAAGTGTTTCGGCTACTTTCACTCTCACACGATGTTGATTAAAGTGAAATGGAAGCCCCAAAATAGAAAAAACAAATGGCAGTTTCACCGAAACAAGTTTAATTTATAACTGTATATAAGTCCTTTACCTTGTTAATTTTGGAATTAGAATTTGAAAGTAGTTATTTTTATTTAGATAATTAGTTTTGTTATGTGAGTCATATATAATAGCAAAAGACTCCATAATAATAATATTACTACAAAAATTTTGTAATGCAATTCATGCCTAAAATAATGCTCCTTAAATAATATTAACCTTAGCTTGTTATATTTAGTTTGTGTGAATTGTTTTCGGTATTGGTTTGCAATAAAGTACCACAATCCAAAAATAATACTCCGTACTACTTTTAGATCGATTGATAGTATTTTTTTCTTATCTTGCCACAGCTTGTATTGCTATATAAATTCGACAAATATAATAGAATTGAACATAAAACAATAGCCAAGCTTGATCATTAAACAACAAAATGAAATCCATAATATTATATAAAAAAGGCCGATTTAAAAAACATAAATGAGTAACAATAAAGAGTTGGAAATGACTTAAAATCGGTACATCATACAAGAAACTCTTCCATATACTACTTAGAGTTGCTTGTATATGTGAATTTCGAATTTTCGATACAGTGATAGTTATAAGGTGTCTCGATCTGTCCTTAAATATGTAGACCTGGTAGAGGTACGGTACAAAGTCCAATAACAATATCGGAATTTGAGCATACTAGTCCTTCACAACAATTATATACGCCTTTAGCAGCACATATATTGCCGAATCCTTGGCATTTTTCTGTTTCTTTGGTTGGCTCAGCAGCAACGACGATTGTTGGAACTGAAACAATGAATATTAATCGTGATTAATTAAAAATCAATGAAATATAAATGGAGTATTAATTTATAGAGTAATAAAACATGCTACATGCATGGATTGGAGATACAAAATGGCATTTTGAACTAAAAAGATTTTAAACCTTTGTGAAGCAGGTACGAAAAATGTGTAGTACTCTCACTATCCCATAATACATGACACAGTCAAATATTGCACACATCAATGTACTAATTTGACTATATTTTTATATAATTAAATATTAATTAAAAAAGTTATAAAAATTATACTCGTATTATGAAACTTTATATTAAAACTTATCTAACATGTTTTATTTTATGATAATATATATATTTTTATTATATTTTAAAAATTATGGGCAAACCTAATGCATGAATAGTGAAAAAAAAGTCCAACATCTCATGCATTATAAACCGTAGGGAGTAATAATAAGTACTGTGGTAAAAGAAGATCGAGGAGCCAAACCTGTTACACTAAGTAGAAGAACAGCTACGAACATCATTGCCATCATAGTGTAATTGATGCGAAGGTTGGCCATTACGAGTTTACGACGTATGTGATGATCAATGAAGTGAATGCAATAAGATTGAAGTACTTCAACTTAAGCTTATTCAATCTATATATGTATGTGGTTGAGTAATTATTCATCGGCTTTACGCACTATTTATTCTGTTTGCCAAATGCAAATGACAACTAATTGTCTAGTGATCCACTAACAAAAAATAAAACTGAATATTTTCTCATAAATAATTAAAAATAAATGAATCATCTTTGTAGTTGTTGCAGCCATGTCTTTGCTTTGCTGGACTCATCAATAATTAGTTATATCATGTAACAAGCAAAGTTGAAATTAATTAATTTTTTTTTTAATTTTTTAATTTAACATACCTGTAAAATGAAGTACAACAACAAAGCATTAGGCTTAAATAGAGATGATAAAAAATCGGGCCGGGCCTTAACACAATTTATCGTGCACAAACCAATAAAAAAGTAGCGAGCTTGTCGGGCCAAAACGGGCTTTTTGGGCCGGGTTCGGGCTTTTGAACTAAAAAGGCGTTTTTATGCTTGCCCAAACCCCCCTTGCCCCCGCCATCGACGACCACACCACACTCCCCCACCGCCAAAACCTCCCTCAACGGTGAGATCCTTCCTGACACTCCCCCAGCTCCACCACCAAAATCCGCCCCCCAAAACCACCAATAACCCAAACAAAATTACCCAAAATAATCCCATTCGAACCCAAATCAAACACGGGCAGCGGGAAAAGGGTAGTTTAAAAAGGTTTTTGACGGTTTTTGGAGGTTTTTTGGCGGTTATCGGGGGTTTTAGAGGGTTTTTTTTATGGTTTTTGGCGGTTTCAAGGTGATGGTTGTGGTGGTTTCGGGAGTGAGATTTGGTTCAGGTGGTGATTTCAGGGGTGACTTTAGGTCGACAGGATGGTTCTTGGTACTGGGGGATGCCATTTTCGAGGGGGTAGGGTGGCTACCGGCGAGTTTTGGTGGGGCTAGGGTAGGGATGACGGTTTCATGGTGGGTGGGAGAGGCTAGTGGTAGGTTGGTGGTGGTTTTTTTTTTGTTTAGTTTTTAATTTTAATTTTTTATTTTTAAACCAATTACAAAATGACATGTGGTATATTAACCTATCAAAACCGGTTACAATCAAGTTAGGGACCAGTAGAAGAAGATTTCCTATAAAGGTGGGATTATTAAATAATAATCTAAAGGTGAGATTATTTATCAGCAAATCGATCAAAGATGGAATTATTAGAATCAATTTTTCCATAAAATAGTCTGTATCTGTATTTTTACTTGGTCTTTTAAGCATGCATTTGATAAGGGGCGGATCTTGATCTAATGCCTTAGGGGGCCGGGGCCAAAAGAAAGTACGATACTTTGTTAATAATATCATGATAATGAGCTAATGACTCCTCTTAAAATAAACTTCGTATCAAAAACAACTATGTTCACTTTTTTTTCATAGTTGTTTATCTTTTTTTATTTATTTGATCAACTACTTGTTGGTAAATACTTTGATATGAAAAGGGTAATGTTGTTGCATATAAGCATTAGGAAAAATTGGTAAAATAATTTCAATTTTTTTTTTGATAAGAAAAATAATTTCAATTTTTACCTGTTTGCTCAAAATAATCTTAACTATAAATTATTTTTTTATAATAATCCGAACTTTAAGGGTCATTCGCTTTTAATTTATTGGTCTAAAGTAAGCAGTAACCTGTTAAATTATTTTTTTTTTGTTTTTTAGGGACATGTGCTGCCACGTAATTGGTTGAAAAAATATCTAAAAAAAAGAAAAAAAAAAAAAAAAAAAACTAGCCCCACCACGCACAAAAGTTAGAGTTTGGTATGTAAACGGTTCAATTTAAATTAGTACGTGTGCATGACTTGCATGAGTTGCATCCATAAGACATGGATGCAACTAATGTTGTCCACCAAATAAGTATTAATTAACAAGCTGGCCTCGACACGTTACTATTAGTAAGTCCAGCTTATCTCTAATGGATAATTGAATAATAAAATTATTCAACTTTAATAATTAACATCTATCACTAGGGCAAATCATGCTACATTTGGAAAGCTATAAATACTAGTATCATCCGATGCTAATGAACATAAACTTAACAACCTTTCTAACATAGTAAAAATGGCGAGGTTTACCATCAACAACTTCGTTGTCATGGCCGCTATTTTCTTGGCTGTAGTTTTGGCTTTTACAAGATCAGGTTGGTTCAATTCGCATCGTCTATTATTTTATTTAATTTCATGTCAAAAGTCTATCGTATTCGTTTTAGTACAAGTTTTTTTATGATGATAAATTATATTAAATGTCAAGAGTCTCATAAATGTTAATTTATTTTAGAAAATAACATGCTGATTGAGATCTTATGTTAATTTATTTACAAAAATATCACTAGATAAATGATTTTTGTTTATCATGAATATTTAACTAGGGCTCCCTCAATTATTATTTTTTTTTTTAAATTTTTTTTATGATGATTAATTATATTAAATGTTGTTTAATAATTTGTGTTTATTCATGTGCTATGTACTTCCAGCTGATGGTTCATATGATGGCGAGCAGCAAGCAGCTTATTACTCGCCGACAAAGTCACCACCACCACCACCACCATCTAACCCTACATGTAGGAAGTTGCTTGAACTCTGTACAAGTTACGGTGCTTACAGTTGTTGCGGAGGGTTTGTTTGCGGAGGTAGGTTTGAAAACCTTCCTGTAGGAGTTGGAGTGTGTACGCCTTCGAATCAACCACCACAGCTACCAGCACAAGAGTGTCAAATTGCGCATCAACTTTGTCAGCCTTATGGTGATTATAGCTGTTGTAAAGGATTAACCTGTGTTCATCCTCGAACACTACCTCCAGTCGCGGGCATTGAACCCGAACAACTGATGCTTCCTCCTGGTGTTGGGATATGCGAGCCGATTAAACTTTAATTTAAGATCACAGCTAGCTATATGAATGTACGTGATCCATGGTCTTCTTCAGTCAGTCCTTCATGCATGTTTTATTATTTCCATTAAATTTTTTCTATTGTTGTAAATTTGTTTAAATATTTATCCTATTGTATTTTGAATATTTGTATTATTACGAAATTGTACGTATCTTTGAGATTTATGCATTATTTTGTCATTTTTATTATATGGGGCAGCATTACGACGGATGAATAATTTAATTTTTTTGGGTCAGTGATGATAATGAACTTAAAATGTGCGACTGGATAACATGCATACATACGTATGTATATAGGGCCTATTGGATAGTTACTCAGGCTAAATTTTTTAATTTTGACTTCGGAAATTAACAAAGTGGCAAATTCTTCCTAAGACTTCATATACTCCCTATGTTTTTAAATACTTGCTCCATTTATCCATGCGCGGAGTTTTAGGAGAAATTGGAGAAACTAATAAAATATAGAGTTAGTGGGTAGGTAGAAGAATAAAAAATTGTAAAAAGCAAAAGTAGTGGAGAGGATTGGAAAAGCTAGAAATTCATGGTAGGTCCACTAGGTGAGAGAAATTAATAAACTATTATAAAAGCTTTTCAAATAAGGAAATGGAGCAAGTATTTAAAAACGGCCGAAAAATAAAAGTGGAGCAAGTATTTTAAAATGGAGGGAGTATTCTACAACTAGTTGTCTAGTCTTATACTTCCCCTGTCTTTTTTAATTTAAACTATTTGACTGTTACATACACTATTCACAAACTACGCTTTGACTAGCTTTTGTAATTATTTATACTACGATAAAATATAGTCAAGTGAGAACTTTTTCTTTGAGGAAAAATCAAGTGCGATCTTGTTTATATAGTTTCAATGCATATTTTATTAATAACCACCTTTTATAATTTTTCAATATAGAGAATAAGAGATATTAACTATCAAAATAGTGCGTTAGCAAACGTGATAAAAGAAAGGTGTCAACTAAATTAAAATGGAGGTAGTATAAAGCAATGCGTAAGTTGATTGTTTAAAATTTAAATGAGTAAAATTTATTTTAAAGTATTGAGATGATATGTAATCCAATTCAATTGAAAAGATGTATTCCGTGTGAATGAGCTCATTACAATACATATTATATGTTGTTGAGGCCATGAGAAAACCCACATGAAAGTAGTGTGTTATACTGTTATCCCACATTGAAGAGTGTAGAAAGTGTAGGGAAATGTATCCCACATTACATAAATAAGACAATTTTGTCCACTTTATAAGGCTAAGGGGATACTCCTCTTATTGCAATATGGTTTTGAGGTGGAGCCTCCTTGGTCGTATAAAGTAGACAATTGTTACAGGTGTGACCTAGACCCATTTATCAAATGTCAAATGCTATAATATTCTTCAAGAAGTTTTATATATTCACATATAACAATCAAGTATCATGAAAAATACTGTGGATTATTTATGCTTCTTTTTTTAAAAGACTCTGATTTTCATTTTGCTATGCTGGTGTTCTGACACCAAATTATATGGTCAAGTTCCGAGTTCTGCTATGTACATTTTGAAGCATATAAATGACAACTAATTGCCAATCACTTAATCTTAATTAATGTAATGTTATGGATTGAGATGTATGATTTTAATTTCATGTTGTTGCAGCCATGTCTTTTGGATTTTGTTGGACTTTATTGAGATCTCCTGAAAAGGAGAAATAAGAAAAATTCATAGTGTTAGATGTCTTCTGTATCAAAAGTAAGTCAACTAACGAACAAAAATAAAAGAAATTTATCCGTAATATATACTACCTCCGTTAAATGTTATGTGCAACTTTGGAATATTTTATATCTCACAAATAATACTTCAAAGTTGCACATAACAATTAACGGAGGTAGTAACTCTCTTTATCCCTGAAAGTTCAACTCAATTACTATAAACTCGAAATGAAAAGAGAGTCAAAATTTTGGATGTAGTTGGGGAAGTATATTTTTATTTCTCTTATAAATTTGTTTCCCCAATTGGCCTTAGTATCAAAAATACTAAAAAAGGCTAAGAATATAGCCAAACTTAACATATTAAAAATCTTTCAAACACCCCTTACATGCAAAGCATAACCAAGTATCCCAAAATGATATAATTCCTAACAAACTTCTTGATTAGAATACATTAAATAAAGCATTTGATTTGGTCATGAGATATTGTGAATCTTGAAATCAAAAGACATGGAAGCAACAAACAACAAAAATGGCAAGTCACTAGGAGCAACTGCACAAGCTGTATATGCCAATTATAGTAATCAATCTAACACCTACCACAAACTGAAGACAATACAATAAGTTGTCACACAAATGTACAAATAAAAAACCTTCAAAATATATGCTACCTCCGTTTTTTTTAAGTTGCAACTTTGAGGTATTATATGAGAGATACAAAATATTCTAAAGTTGCAACTAAAAAACATCGAAGGTAGTATATTTTTAGCGCGTTAGGGAGTACTATAAATATTGAAACGGTGAGCCGAAGAAGCAGCAACAAACATTAGAATCAAATACATATTGCAACCAAGAGTGCTTAGCATTTTAGATCACAAATGGGGAAAGCTTCTTCCATCAACTTCGTTGTCGCGGCCAATATGTTAATGGCTGCTTGCATTCTTACTATATCAGGTATGAAACGCCATTCTACCTTAATATAAGAATCGTAAAAAACTTTCTTCATTAAGTTTGCTAGATAACTCTTGAGATCGAACTTGGTGTCCAAGTTTTTAATCGAATACATAACCCGCCTTTGCTCCTTAGTCCTTACCTCTCTATTCTCTACGAATTTGATGTTTTCAATGTTATTATTCTCATGTTAAAATGTTCGACTTGGTTTCTTTGTGGACTATATGCATGATTTTGAACCAAAATGAAGTTTCTAAGTGTTCTATGCATGTCCAAGAGAGTCTAATGTGGGGAAATTCCCTGTTTCTCGTTGTGAGAAACGAAATTTGTTTCTCATGGAGACATTTTCGTGAATAAATCAACAACTTTTTCATTATTGTAGGCTTTACAATTGAATAAAGTTGAATAAAATTGTTGGTTTATTTACGAAAATGCCATGTAAAACAAATTTTGTTTCTCACCATGAGAAACTGGGGCATCCTCTCTAATATGGGTACTTATCGAGTAACATATCACTCCTTTATAACAACGTTTGATTTCTTGTTTCCAATATTTCCAGTTCCAACCTTGGCAACAAATTACAAGTCTACCGGATATTATGAGCATCCACCACCACCACCACCAAGGTCGTCGCCCACGTGTAGGAATGAAACTGAACTGTGTATAGGTTATGGTGATTACATTTGTTGCAAAGGATTAAATTGCATTTTAGGGGATCCAATCCTTCCAATAGGTGTAGGTTTATGTTTACCTTTAGGTGAACAACCACCATCAACTGATGAGTGTCGAAAAATTAACCAACTCTGTCATCCTTATGGACAGTATAAATGTTGTGACGGAATGAGCTGCGTCGATACTCGTACGCTGCCTCCGGTTGCCGGTGTTAACACCCAAAAGCTTGAGCTTCCACCTGGTGTAGGAATTTGTCAGGCCATAAAACTATAAGTACTAGTATATTGTTATACCTCTATCTTAGCTTATTGTTTCAGCAATTTTGCGTTAGTTGTATTCCTTGTATTTCTTTTGTGTTTTTTTGTTGTATCATTTGAAGTTTTTATTTATTTTTTTTAATTTATAATTTTAAAGAATTACTTTGTACTATGTATGTAACAATTGAATTTAATTTTGGAAAATTTGTAATTATTAATCCCAACTTTCGGCTATTTCCTTTCATTAATCCCAACTTTCGATTATTATTGAATAATCCCAACTTTGGGGGGCATTTTCTTTTATCAGGTCAAATGACCGGTGACCTGATTAAAAGGTAATTTTTTTTAATTTTTTTTTCTTACATGCCACATTTTGCAATTTCATTAGTTGATTTTTTAAAAAAAAAAAAATTTAAAAACCAAACCCACCAGCACCATAGCCCCACCACCTCCTTCCTTAACACCACCGGAAACCACCATCTCCTTCCCCTACCCCACTGAAAACCACCGCAACCTCACCCCCGTCGCCGACAACAACCCCCAAGCCACCATTTTCACCCCTCGTCGCCGAAAACAACCCCCAAGCACCGCAACTCCTCCTAAACGCATCTCCACCCTTCACCCCGATCTCCCTCATCCACTCACGAAAACCACCAATCTCCCCCCCCCCCCACTCACGAAAACCCTAACAACATGGTGGGGAAGGGGCATTTGGTGTTTTTCGTAAGTGAGGGAGGGAATTTGCGCGGCTGGTTTCAAGGGGACGGTGGTTTCAAGGGCCGCGGTTGCGCGGCTGATGATGTTGGGGGTCAGGATTCGCGCGGCTGTTGGTTTTTGAGGGTCGAGGTTCGCGTTGCTGGTGGTAAAGGGGGTCGAGATTCGTGCTGCTGGTGGTAATGGGGGTCGGGATTCGCACTCCAGGTAGTAATGGGGCCGAGGTTCGCGTGAACCAGCTGTTTTAGAGGTCGTGGTGGTGCGGCTGGTGGTTTTGGTGGTCGGGGTTCGTCGATCGGTTGGTTTTGGTGGCCCAAAGGCAGTGGCCGACGAGTTTAGGGGTGGGGGTTATGTTTCACGGTGGTAAAAGGGTGGCTGGGATGTCAGGGTGGGGGTTAGGGTATGGTGGTCCGGTAAATGGAAAGGAGAGGTTTGGTTTTTTTTTTTTTCAATTTTTGTAATTTTTAATTTTTTTTTTACCAATCAGGGCTTGACACGTGTCAAGTTACTTGTTATAATAGGTCATTGACTTTTATTGACCGGTCATGACCTGATAAAAGAAAATGCCCCCCAAAGTTAGGATTATTCAATAATAATCGAAAGTTGGGATTAATGAAAGGAAATGGGCGAAAGTTGGGATTAATAATTACAAATTTTCCTTTAATTTTTACAAACTCGATTTTTCTTTGATTAATACTACCTCCGTTTTTATATTTGTTGACAAGTTTTGACTTTAGCATTATTCACACATCTCTCTTTGACCATGTTTTGTGATTTATATATGAAGAAAGATATAGTCGAGTGAGATCTTGTTAAATTCATCACAATGTATATTTCAAAATATCAACTTTTTATAATTTTTGCTTATCGGTAATTAAAGATAGATATTAATGATTGAATTTGTGCATTTGCAAACGTAACTAAGAAACATGTCAACTATAAAAAAAACAGAAGAAGTATATGTCTAGCATTGTCATAAGATCAATACTTTAAGATTAATAGATCTCTTTGATTAATATACCTCTTAATGGTACATAGTTTTTATTTTTGGAAATAAAACCATCGATTTCATGCTAAAAACATGTTTTTTTTTTTTTTTGGAAAGAGGGTCATCATTTGATTTGGTCATGAGATATTGTGAATCATCATGAATCAAAACTCAAAAGACATGAAAGCAACAAACAACAATTGGCTAGGCTAATCAATGTAAGCACTTAAGCACATCAAATTGTCCACCCAACGACTCTTTATTATACTTGCTTCTTTTTTTTAGTTGACACCATTTGACTTTTACACTATTTACAAACTACACTTTGACTAACTTTTGTGATTTATGACGTTTACACTATTTACAAATTACACTTTGATTAACTTTTGTGATTTATAGCGCGCTATCATAAAATATAGTCAAGTGAGATCTTGTTTGAATCCTCTCAATGTACGTATATTTTATCAATATCCTCTTTTTATAATTTTATAATGTCGAGAATTAGAGATATTAGTCGTTTAAAAAGTGTGTTGGCAAGCGTAATAAAAAAAAGTGTCAACGAAATAAAAAAAAGAGGTACTATAACATAAGGAAACCCTAAATTATTTCCAAAGGAATAACATTAATAGCCGTCATAAGTGTAGCCGAAATTAGGAAACAAAACATGCTAGGCTGATCCTCGAAGAAGCATGGGCATGTTGGTTTTTGGCACGGGTGTGTGTAAGAAATTCCACCTTGACAATCTTAAGTAAAACAACCATAACTTTTTGTTTTTTTATCAAAATTGGGCATATGACCTACTAATGGAAAGCTTTTGAAACAAGCTATCACCTCCAACTTGTATCACCTAAAGATCATTTCTGGATTGAGAGATATGTGCGTTTGAAGTTGGTCTATCGCCATTGTACTAGATTTCAATCACAATACAATTAATAACATCAGTGGGACATACGTCGTGTAATTCAGAATCGATATGTTCAGTTGTTTCTCATTATGTAACCATGGTTACGTTATACCATTCACCTTGTTTAGACCAGTCCATTCAGCAAGTCCGGATTTAAGAGACTCATAGATAATGATATATTGATGCTTTATTTTAACAAAAAAAATACAATGAACATCGGATAAATGTCCCTTCCTTTTTTTAATTTTTGACGTTTGTTATGTTAATACTGGGGGTAAATCCCTGTTTCTCTTCTTGATAAACATGAAATGCATCTCAAGAGGGTAGTTTGTATTTTAAGGCCTAGTAGCTGGGGGTACGATCGTCTTTCTATAATATCACATAGAATAGAGGTGAATTGGGCTAACAAAGTTTTGTTGACGACATTAGTAAAGTACAACAACTTCCTTCGAAGTCTCAGTAGTCCAATTTACTCCAACCTCAACAAAAAATGCAGAATCTTCTTCCCTATTCACTACTACTCTTCTTCTCATCATCTATTGAACTTATAATTCTAGAATTGTAGATATGCAAGGTTGTTGGTGGTTGCAATGTTAGGCAGCTAGTGGTGGTGTTATCCGAGCACAATAACTGAATTGAAATGTACGTAGCAAAAGCTCTGTATTTTATGTGAATAACAGCGAGAATCCGAAGAGCATCTTCAATGGAGTTTCAGAAGCTTAAAGTCTACTTCAATGGAGGAAGTTGACACCCTTACCCTTTGGAATTGATTTTGCCCTTTTTTCTCCCCTTTATCTCAAGGTTTTCGTTTAAATTCGACGGCAAAGCCGCAGGAAATGGTGGTGTTGGTGGGAAATGGATGAGGATTAAAGCTCGAGCTCCTTTAATGGAGCTTGATGTGAGAAAAGGAGGAAGAAGAAGAATAGCGTGTTAATTACAAATGGTGACTGAATGTTGTACGACGTGAATTAACAGAATGCTTCACATTTCTGAGTGGAAATCACAGTCAGCAAATAAAATAGTATAAAATGCTTTTTCCAATGCAAATAATAACGAAAATGCTACTAGATATACACTCCATGTTTCTCAAGAAGAGAAACTGGAGCTTGCCCAAAAACTGGTGCTTTGATGCAGAGTTTAATATAGATCGGGTTCTGAATTTTACTCGTGCAAGACTGCAAGAGTGAGATCTAATTGATAGTTATAATGAACAAGAATGAAAATGATAGATAACTTTGACAATTGCTCTTTTATATTTATTGTATTAATCTGCTAGCCAAACCCTGTAGCATCAAAGGTCGATATAGTTTTGATGATGCCCCAGTTTCTCATGGTGAGAAACAAATTTTTTTTTCTTTCATGGTACTTTCGTAAATAAACCAACAACTTTATTCAATTGTAAAACCCACAATAATGAAAAAGTTGTTGATTTATTCACGAAAATGCCCCCAAGAGAAACAAATTTCGTTTCTCACCCTGAGAAACAGGGAATTTCCCTGTAATTAAAACTTGTCTGGTTCATTCAAAAAAAAAAAAAAAAAAAAATTTACAATACGCAACATAAAATGGAAACTTTTCTCAATCAACTTTGAATTGGATTGTTAAAGTTGAAACCCTCAATGCAGAGTATAACACTCATTAGTCCGAGGTTGATCAACTCAAACTAGTCCAGTTAATCATACAATACACATAACTTAAATTGGAAACATTTCTGAAAACTTAAATGATAATGTAATCATCAAAGAGTTGGAGGTTGTAATACAATTAATGAAAAAAGTACAGGTAAAATGGTAGTAGAGTTGCTTGATATATCTTAGCCACAAAAACCTATACCGCCTGCAGCGACACCGGCTAGATCATCAGAAGTAATGCACCGTAGTCCTTTACAGCAAGCGTATGGACCTTCTCCAGGGCATAGTTGGTCTTTACCTTGACATTTTATTGGTTCATTGAAAGAAGACGACTGCCTTATACCTTCTGATGTTGGAACTGAAAGCAAAGCATGAATAATAACAAGTCATTACTAAGATTATAAACTACTCCCTCCGTGTTTTTTTCTACAAGCTAGAGTTGAGATTTTCCACTATTCATAATATGTCATCATTTGTACTAAAAATAAAATAAAAATTAATAATAATAATAATAATAAATGTCATCATTGACTTAATTTTTTTAACAATAATATATAAAATGTTGTTGGATTTGTCATATTGTCTACTTTAATAAATTAATTTTTTTCATAATTTTACTAATCTCTCATTAAAAATATTGACGGTTAAAATTGTGTTTCGACAAATGTGTAAATTTGACTCTAGCTTAAAAAAAAAAAAAAAAAAAACCGAGGGAGTAACAAAAAAAATGACTAATGTAATAGGAGCTGAGTAGTATGTAGATATATATGAACGAATAATCCTTAGATGCATTACTATATATTTTATAAACTAAACTAAATTAATGGTTTAAGAGAGGAGAAACCTGATGTAGTAAGCAAAAGAATAGCGAATATCATAGCCATAACAGAACATTTTATGTGAGCACTAGCCATTTGGATGTGTTTTAAGGATGAGTAGAGTATGTGAAAATGCACTTCAAATAAACTTACTAACTATATTGTTGAATGTTGATGTGATTAAAGGTTCATCCAATGTTTGGTACTTATAACAATTTTATGCCATGTTATGATCAGCTGTAATATTAAATAATTGCATCATAAGCTTCATCTTAGGGGGCTTGATTATTACTATGTAATTGTACATTATGAAAAATATAAAAGACAACTAATTTCCAATCAATTAATCTTAATTAATGTAATCTTATGGATTGAGATGCATGACTTTAATTTCATGTTGTTGCAGCCATGTCTTTTGGATTTCGTTGGACTTTATTGAGATCTCCAGAAAAG